TGTGTGTGTGTGTGTTAATGGGTAGGTGGATAATGTGTCCTTGTCTTCCTAGGCTGAGCCTGTGATTCTGGACCTGCGGGACTTGTTCCAGCTCATCTATGAGATCAAGCAGAGAGAGGAGATGGAGAAGAAGGCCCAGAAAGATAAGCAGTGTGAGCAGGCGGTCTACCAGGTACACTTAACCAACTCTCTGTGACCTAACCGTATCACGCCCCACCCCCCTTTTTTAATGTCACCTTAATCATCTGCCATAAGTATGATGAGCTTCATCCGAAAGATTCTCGACAGACACGTCAAGTAAGACTTGAAAGGACATCAAAGGAAGTGAATGACATACGGAGCACCCGCTTTCGGGTTTCATCAGTGGCACCATCTGCCCATTGTGCTTATTTCACCTTCCTCTGTTCTGCCTTCTCTACATCTGTTTAATTTCTCTTTATCTCTAGTTGTCTCTCTCTCTCCTTTTCTGATGATTGCCAAATGATTATCTGAATGCTGGGAAGCTGCTATGTCTTGCTGTGCTTTCCACCTACTCTTTCTACTCCACCGGCTTAACTCTCCGCCTCCTCCCTCTCTTCTGTCTTCTCCCCTCTGCTCCTCTCTCCTTGCTGTTTGATCTCTCCCTCTCCTTGCTGCCACCGCTCATCTGCAGACAATACTGGAGGAGGATCTGGAGGACCCGGTCTACCAGGTAACTTCCCGACCAATCACATCGCTGGTGTCACCTTCTGCATTTCTAGCCAGTCAGCTTGCTCCTCTCTGTGTGCACTGTGGGGAGACAGTTCCTGTTTTGTTACAGTGTGGTAATAGCACAATATGTACAGTTCGGATGGGTTAGTTGTCTGGAGGTATTTATGTGGAGTCAACAACAGCCGGGGACGTTTGAATCTGTGCGATCGTGGGTCTTGGTGGTGTCTGTGTGCATGTCTGCCAGTTGGGGTGCATGATCAGCTGAAAGATGTATATGTTTTCTCAGGTGCTTTGGGACTTTTTGCTGCTTAAATTTTCCTTCATGTGTCACGGGAATCTATTCTTCAACTGCTTTTTAATAAAAATCTATTGACAATGCTGTTTGACTAATCTCCTCTGCAATTTCACCACTTTTCTCTCAATTTCTTTATCTTCCATTTTCTTTTCCGCTTCTTGTTTTCCTTTCCTCCCTCCGCTGCTGACGTTGTAGTACATTGTGTTTGAGGCGGGACACGAGCCCATCCGTGACCAATCAGAAGAGAGCATTTATCAGGTACTCACAAGCTCTTGTTGTCTGCTTGGGTCTCAGTTATATTCTTGTCATATTGTAGTCAGCTGTGGTTAAGCTCCCAACTGCAAGAACATTTTTAAAGTGTTTGAACAAAAAGATATTTAATCCTCCATTTGCCAGCCAATAGGTACCAGCTACATCACTCTTTAATTGGATAAGTATATTGTGGCCTGCTCATAAAATTAATGGCTTCTTTTGTCACTCATAAAAATGTAGATACAAGAAATAAAAGACAGTAAGCATCAGAGGCGAACTACCAGCCGGCACTCTCTAGAGGGCCCTGACAGCTAAAAGCTAGCCCAGGGAGATGAGTCTTTCTCTGGGTGCACTCCTCAGAGGCGTGGGTAGACCTCCGAGGGATGAGGAGGGGGAGGGTACAGAGTGCGAGGAGGGGATGTGGAGGTTATTCCTGGGCTGTGTGGAAGGCGGACCCCTCCTCTTTTTCTCTCCTCCCCTCCCTCTTTTCCCGAGGAGATGAAAGAAAGCGGGGGAAAGAAAGATTAATCACCAGCCTCTCGTTTGATCTTTAAATAAAATGGATTGAAAATAGACAGAGTGCTGGCGCGTGCACAATACACAAACAGAAATAACACACACATACAAACACCCCCCACACATCCACACACACACATCAGGCGTAAGAAACGTGAGCCTCAGCCAGCCTCTAGCCACAGAGGAACTAATGTATGAATAAAGATGGCAGCTTCTGGAAATAAACATGTGAAAAAAGTAACAAGGCATTGAGAAGAAGAGAAAGAATGGGGCAGGCTGTGCTAGATAGATAGCCACATCATCAGTGCTATTTTTTATTTACCACTGATAAGGGCACATCCAACTAGGGTAGAACAAAACTTTATTTTAGTGTCACTGTAGGAGAAACAAAACCCATAGGGATCCCAGTATTCATGCATATCAGTATTTTGCTATCAGAGCTCATTGTGTCTCCTCATTGCACACGCTGTCAAATCTATCTGCCTGTGTGACAGAGAGATATTACATGTCTCCATGTGTGTGACCATCTGAGTTATTACATGTCTGTGGGTGTGATAAGCAGCCTTATCCATTCTTTATTAGGGAGAGAAAGAGAGACCATCACTGCAGGCCGATAGTCAACTGATTAGCCTACTAGATGAGTTCTCACTTTACAGATTTTAATTCTGATTATCCCCGCACATACTCACACTCACACTCACATACACTCACACTCTACTAGTGATTGATTTGATTCCTGAGGAGCCAGGTTTCAGGGTTTCGTGTTGGCATCCAGTGTGTCGCAGTGCTGTAACTGTGATGTATAAAGACTGTGTCATTGTTTGATTAAACCAGAGGTAATAGGCTCTCTCGGCTGTTCTCTGACTTTATTGGTCGATTGTGTAGGTTCCCACCAGTCAGCAGAAGGAAGGGGTCTATGACGTCCCAAAGCGACACCCAGTGAGTGACCGTGTGTTTGTCCCACCAACACCCCCCCCTTCAGCCTGCCTCCCCCTCTCAGACAAACCTCTCAGCTGTCCCACCATTACACAGGCGTAAAGCCTCTTCCTTCAGTGCCCTCTCCTTGTAGAGCCTGGTGAAGCTCTAATTTTGCAGTCCCGTTAACATCTCTCTCAAATAGTGATCAGGTGTGTCTGATTTTTCCCTGAGAGGTTTGCTGGGACCCAGTGCTCTTGTGCAGTGTGCTGTGCTACTCTTCTGCTTGTGCTGTAGCTGTGGTGGCTGGTGCCGTTCCCCGTGTGCTCCGTGGTGCCTGCTCCTTATGGTTAAATGGGATACTGTGTGTGAATATGTGTGTTGTGTCAGTTTGCTTGATGAAGCATGCCTGGCTGTGGTTTGCCAGTGGTGAATTCAGTACAAACCTGCATGACCTTATGCCAGATTGCGCTGAACACACGTTTTGTCATTGTCATATTTCCTATAATGGATATAAGTTATACTGAGCTTAAATGTGCATGGCCTCCGATTTTTGAAACTATATCTCAGTATTTCACCTCGTTCATGCATATAAGTAAGTGTTTGCTGTGTAAATATTTATCACTGTTTGTGTGTGTGTTTACAGTGCTCATGGGTGCGTATGTAGGGTATATCTTTAAGCTCTTGTTATTGGCTCACATTGCCAGTGGTTATAATGAAAGATGACCTTGACCACTGTCAGGCTGCACTATAACTCAGCTGCTCTTTTATCTGCCTATAAAGATGCTAGTTATATCCCTGCCTGATTTAATCTGCTAAAATCTTCACACTCACAATAACCAGGCTGCTGTCCTGTGTGTGTGTGTGTGTGTGTGTGTGTGTGTGTGTGCATTTGTATTTCAACACTTCATACCATGTTGCTGTTCTGTAGATCAGTATTCCCGCAGTCCATCCAGAGCGCTCCAGCTCTATATGTATTCCCCAGCAGTGGGTCTTTTATCCTTAAACCGCTAAAACTGGACTCCTCCACGTCACTACTGGCAGTCACAATCCCACTCTATGAATTTTGGTAGGCTTGGAATCAGTCTCACAGTTTTCTGGCTGCATATTATCCCCAGCTTTGGTAAGAAGCTTACAGGCACCATAGTATTTCTGTTCTCTCTTCACCCAGCCCACAACACATGCTGCTATTTGGATTGCTTTGGTGTTGGCAGGTGTCCGAACGTGAACAAATCCAATATTTCTCTCTTGTTGTGCAACCAGTTGGACAAGTCGTCTATTCTGGTTTAAATAAAGCAAATTCAAGTCTTTTCTGCTTCCCAGTCAGTCAGAGGAAGTAAATATAACCCAGGATCATAGAAATATAAATGGATCATAAAATTTAAGAATTTGGTTTTAAGATAAATCCATACTCACAGAGGGCAGAAAACTGCCGCTGTGCTATCTGTACAGGTTGAATCTTTCAAGTATGTTGAACCTCAGTCAGAGATGTCACAGCAGGTCTTTTCCATTAGGAATCCAACTGCTGCATTCACATCATATTGTTAATATGAGGAGCCTCAAGGAGAATATCTTACATTTAGTGAAAAGAACTGCAGATGTCTCAAAAACTGATGCTAAAATGGCTGCAAAGCTACTGTTGCAGGCAGTATAATGTAAATAAAATCCGTTGTAAACACTAAATCAATCAATTTGTCAAATTACAAAAGAGCTGTATAGCCCTACCATACACAATGAAGTTAGTTTAAGTTATAGTTTATACTGCTACACACATTTAGGCAACACTATTGTTTATATAGAGTAACTGCAGGGCTTGTACTGGGGGTAAATATCTTAAAATAATGCGTGAACACTTAGAGCATAAATTGAATGTTTTCTCATTCTTGCTATTTAGCCCCCATGGTGTGAACGTAGCAGGAGTACCTGTTGTGACATCACTGATTTGGGAGTGACCAGAGGCCACTACATTTATCTCACTATTGCTGTTTAGAGTGGATTTACTGTACTGCTGGAGAGTTTCAGAAGGATTGACAGTGGACAGTAGCATTGCGTCTGTACTCACTACCTGAGATGAAATGATACCACCAGTAGAAATGCGACGTCCTGTCTAAAGCAATCTCCTCTGTTGTTTACTCTGTCACCTTCTTAAACGAGACAAATCAATAAAACACACACACACACCCTTACACACACCACACCACACAGGCCATTTCAATCTGCTGAGCCCTTGACCCTGTAAAATCAGAGTGTGTTGAATCAACAGAAGACCTCACTCCCTCCACATGCAGAGGCCAGCATAGTACCACCATCAGCTTTGCTCAAACACTGGATTAGTAAGATATACGATATTATGTTTAGGTATCATATCATATATATGACCCAATGACCCATATAAGTGGGTCATTACTGTCCTGGTTTAAATAAAGGTTGCGTTAAAATATCCCCATAAGTGTGTTTATAAGTGACTTAAAGGGAGAGAAAAATGTGCATGGTCTAGTTGGGTTTTATTAGAGTTGTCAGTGTGTTTGTGTTTGCGTGTGACGGTTCAGCAGTGTTTTCGGCGTGTGCCAGTGTGATCACTCAGACGGTAGGGGATCAGCAAGGTGGCGTTAATTAAAGGGGCTGCAGTAATTGTATGCAGAACACATGTGCACAGGTAATTACTGTTTCCCTGGAGATGGCTAATTGATAGGTGGCGGCTGTACTGATAAAGATAAAGGGCTGGGCAAAGAGATGGTGAGAGTGTATAATGGGCACAGAAGGATAATTGGCAGGGCAAGAGAGAAACGGATGGACAGAGAGAGAAAGAGAGTGAAAAAAGAAAGGCAGAGGAATGGGCAGCAGCAGCTTTTAGATATTGTATGTTTATATAAGGGTAAATTTAAATGTTCCACAAAAAAGTACACATTGGAGTTCAGAGTCAGAAAAACAACCAGTAGAAAAATGGACAGCATTTCCAGAACTGATTAGTATTGGGCAAGCTGGTATTGTTCTTTAGTATCAGCTAATGATGGCCATACTTCATGCTTTCATCCAAAGAAAAGCATACACTCAGCAATATTGTAGTGCACCAACTACTTGTGCTTTGGCAGACCAATCTGCACGTCATAATTCAGTGCCAGTGCTGGCGAAAGGTCTGGCGGAACCCATCACCATTCTGCTATAAGCTAGAAAAACTATTAGACGTTGTTTGTACAGTCAGACTTTTGAGGGATGGTTTCAGAAAACATGCAAATACATCAGTATTGCTCTTATATGTGTTTTTAGTTTAGGTGCATGAAGGCACGAGCTGTATCATCTGTTGGCTACACAGACGACACCTGTTAGTGATTGATAGATTAATTTTTGGCTTTGTCTTTTTTATGGGATTTGTTGCTGATAAAAAAAAATGATAATAAACACAACACCGGCCTTATCTTATAATCTTTAGATTGGAATTCACTCTGACGGAGATCCAGCTAGTGATGGTGCAGAGCAAGCTTGCAGGAAGGAAGCAGTTTTTTCCTATAATGTAACATACTCCCTCCATTTGCTCTCACATACAGCATGTTTGATAATCCAGCCCCTCTTGCTGTGTCTGCCTGCTTGTCGGTCTGTCTCACACTGGTTCCTGACACAGGGGAGCAGGCTTTACAGAAACACAGAGAGGGTTTAAACCTTAGCTCAGTGCTGTAGTTTAGACTAAAGGTAGGGATGATCTTTAAACCTTTTTTTAAATCGTCTAAGTCTGGCAAGAAGAACCTTGCTCTGTGCCTGTGTGTCTGTTTGAACATGACTGTGTTTTGTGACTATAACACCTGCAGACCCCTCTTAAATAAGCCTCATTTCACCTCACTCCCTCCTGTCTCACCCTTTCTCTGAGTGTATGAAAAACAACTAATATGTTGGTGTGTGAGCACATTTTCATCCCACTCGCCATCTAACACTGGGGTTGTGATTGCAGAACGGACAGCAAAACACTCCCCACCACCATCATCATCAACCTCATCATTATCATGCTCAGCCCTTTCAACAAGAGCAAACTGAACACCAGCAGCAGCAGCAGCAGCAGCAGCAGCAGGCAGTGGCAGATCTGATAGACTTAGACCTGGATATGGTGACTCAGGTAAGGCACTATACGTACATACCACAAACCACAGTGCTTTTGTTGTTGTGGTACAGACAGAAGCTCAGTAGTTATGAGTAGGTAACATAGTGTCCTAAAGGTTACTTATCAGGCCTCATGAACCACTTTGTCAGGCATATGATCTCCTGTCTCCTGTCCTTCTCTGTGCTACACCACTTTTTTTCTTTTCTAGTCGTAAGTCAGCCCAACTCTTGACCCCTGTCATTTATGAATAAAACATGCAACCTTGCTGTTGCATAGTAACCAGGTTAAGGCAGAAGTAGAGCCGAGTACCATACGTATGGATGCACCCGTGCGTTCACACCTGCATGTGTGAAAGCGGAAGGACAAGTGGGATAGTCAAGAGAAAAACACCCCAGTAGCTCAGAGCGGAGGTCCCTTTAAGGGGTGAGTGGACGTAAAGGTCAGAGTGTCTGTCAGAGAACCGGTGGGAGTCAGGCAGCGGCGGTCATCTCACCTGCAGTCACACTCTCAGGGTCAAGCTGCTCAGAGCACATTAATAAAGCATTCATAACACTCTGATAATCACAGCAACCTGACCCCACCACCCCACTACCACACACGTAAAGAATATTGAGTCGAGTGACTTAACTAAAAGTGGACAGAAGGTCTATGAACGTCTAACTTCCTGTGCTGTACACTTGCTCTAGTGACATTTTTCTTGTGGTTTCTGTTTAAAGAACATTAGCAAATACTCTGTGGTATGTACTCAGAGTACTCAGTAAAAACTATAGGAATTAATTCATTGTATTTTAGTTTAAGAAGAGAAATGCGTTTAGTGAATTTAACACCCTGTTATCGGTCCTTGTCGATGCACTATTTTGGCTATCTTGGCTATCTAGCTTATTGTCTTGTTGAGTTGATCTTTATCTGCTGCGCTGGATTCTGCAGCAACAATAGTCCATATTACAGACTCCTATCACCTTCCTCTCTTTGTAAAAAACATACCCATCCAGAACTATAACTGTAAAACACCATGCCCACAGATCCATTTTCTGATAGATCTAAAAAGAACTTTGTGGTCTATGTGTGACCTACGAATGGGAAGATATTCTAAGAACATTCATTATCTCAAAAGAAATTATCCGCATCCATGATTTATGCTAATCTCTGACCATGTATTCAAGGCTTAAATTCCTTCACAACTAAAAATAGTTTCCTTCATTTGCCACCGGCCTAAAGATATTATTAATGTGAAAAAAGGGGGAGATACTAAAGAGAAGGATCATGGGGAGACTGTGAAAGGAAACAGAAGGATACAGAACAAATTCAGATCAAATAGAAAGGCTACTGTGTTTGATAGCTATTCCCTCTGAGGCACACCACACATCCTTTACAACAGGGGAACATTAATGATTTGTCCAGAAGAAGACACTGGTACAGTAATGATGCGAGGGGGTGTGGTAGCCGGCTTTTAGACCAGCTAGTGGAAAGCATCTTTTGAAGAGATAAGATAAGCCTTCATTGATGCCCAGAGGGGAAATTCAGGTGTCAAGGACAAAAATAAGTACAGATAAATAGAGAAAAGTAAAAAAAATAAAATAATAAAATAAATAAAAAGTATATAAAATAAAAAGAGAATATAATTAAAAATCTAATCTATACAAGAGCAGTTAATCTCTTACAATGCATGCGGTATACAAACAGTACTCACAAACACTGTTGTAGATGTGGAGCAGATGACAAAGATTGTGGTAACTCTTGGTAGGTATGTCATCATAATCAATCATTTCATCTCATTATCCCATCTCTCCTCACCCCTCTGTTACCTCCTCCGTGTTGCTGCCACAGTGCTCAGGTAGGTACCACAAACATACCAAGCTAGTGTCGTGTTGCATGCGATGTGTGATGCATGTCGCACTGGAATGTAAACTGACCCAGATAATGTATATAGTACAACAGTATTGTTATTGTACCTGACTGGTAGTGTATACTTTCTCTTTTTCTCAGAATATCAACCAATTAGAGATTTTTGGAGACATGTCCACACCACCTGACATTACCTCTCCATCGGTGAGTAGCTGTCATACATACACAGTTTGTGATTTATATCTTATGAAATCCTATTTCCAATGTGTTTTTCTCTTGTTTTCTTCAATCGGACCGCCAATCACAACCCACACAGACCCCCGCCTCTCCAGCCAACACCCTCGACCCCTCGCAGGGCCTGCAGCCTCCCACGGAACTGTTTGCTCCCTTCAATCCTGCGTCTGTGCCCTCAGGTAGGACCTTGTTCATTTTCTGCTTAAATACACCACTGCTACAAGCAGAAGGGAAACAAACGCAGCAGGAGTGAGAGAGAGAGAGAGAGAGTCGAGAAAGGAGATGAAGGGGAGCTGGAGAGTCAGAAGATTCGGAGGCAGAGGGCAGAGGAAAGAGAAGAAGACGGGGGTTGAGATAAATAGAGAGGGACGGAATAGAATTGAAATGTAGATGAGGGGAGGGAAAAGAGGAGAATAGGTGGTATTGGTTGTGTGTTGAATATGAAATGCATCATTAGCTTTCTGCCTCAGATGCTGCTGCTTTACCTGTGGCTGAGGCTACTGTGGCGGCCAGAGGAAAGTAATAAAACATGCTGAGATGATTGTAGTGTAGACTCCTCTGTATGCACAGGGCTTCTTTGAATTAGACGTTGTATACTGTGTCCTCACCTCTGTCCGCCTCCTCTCCTCCTCACTTTCTCTCATGTCAGAGGTGCAGGGCAGCCGAGGTTAAATGTCAGCTTTTTCTGCTGTAGGTAACAACTGGAGACCAGGAACAGGAGACTAGAAAGTGTGTAATAGAATAAGCTTCTACTGATGAGTGTTTTTAATGAGTGTGTGTTGAGCTCAGCCTTTTCATAATGACTCTTTCTCATTCTGGAGGTAATTATGATAGTTCACCATTACCATTAAGAGACACTGCATTATCTGCAGGCAGAAGTAGGGCAGCACTCTCTGGTGATGTATGGGTTATTATCTGTTTGTGTGTAGAAGAGGTATAAGTGGGTATCTTAATCACTTCCTGTCCTATCTTCTTTTTTATTTCATCATTAAGATCTTACAAAATATCTACATTTTCTGTATTTTTTTTCTTAACCTCAAACTGTTAACTCTCTTGTCACTCACCATCAGGTTATGTGACGATGGGAGCAGTGCCCCCCGGCCACTGGTCCCAGCAGGCATTTGCTGCCCAGACACCGCTGGCCTTCGGGGTCCAGTCTCCTTTAGGTCCGGTAGCCCAGGTGCTGCCAGGTGGCCAGCCTCTAATCTGGGGCCAGGCCAACATCTTCCCTGCCACCCAGCAGCAATGGGCAGCAATGGCAGCCGGAGCCTTCCCCCCCACAGCCTACCTCCCTGCCCAACCTGTGGGCACTCTGCCGGCCGCCATGTTCCAGACTCTCACCCCTGTCACAACTGTGACTCCGGCTGGCGAGAGCCATTCAGGTGCTGGAGCCAGTGCTTCAGCGCCCTCCCCTTCAGCGTCGTCAAGTCCGCAGCACGGGGAGAGGGCGAGGAAGATTGGCAAGGAGATGTTCAAGGTGGGGAGCTAATGAATAAATAATTCTGATGAGACCAGAATTATGATATCTACTGAGAACATATATCTATATATATGTATACAATTTTTTTTTTTTTCTGTGTCACTGTGTGACTGACAGATGTTACTGTGCTATAAAGGTAATGGGCGGTGGGAGGGGATTGCTATGTAAAAGTATTGTTATCTTTTCACGTTTTTATGAAAACAATCAAAACAAAGTTCAAATATAGAACCTTTGATTTTTAGAAAGTGTTTTCATTCAATTTGAATTATTCGATTTATGTGTTTTTTTTTTAATCTCATTTGTTAAAAGGGATCCAAATAAATCATGACACAAGAAAAAAAGGGCAAATTAGCATCAAAACTGCATAATTATATAGTTGTTTCATTATAGCCAACAGTCAAGAGAAGACTTAAAATTGGGGGAGAGACAGGAACAACATGCAACAGAGGTTGCATTAACTTGGCCTTCTTACTGTTTTGTTTGCTTCCCTGAATGCCCATGCAGTGAGTGAAAATGTTTAAGTCACAGTGCCCAGTATTAATGTTGACCCAACTGACTAATGTTTGCCTCTTCCTTCAGGATTTTCAACTGGCGAAGCCTCCGGCCATGCCGTCGAAAAAGGGTGAGCAGCCCAACTTAGCAGGAACCTCAGAGGCATTCAGCACTTACTTCAGCCGTGTGGGCACTGCCCAGGACACGGACGACTGTGACGACTTTGACATTTCTCAAATGAATCTGACACCAGTCACCTCCACAACACCATCCACCAACTCACGTAAGAACTATTCTTGTCTGTACTCTTAAGTTGTCGGCTTTTTCTGTAGCTTTTTCTTTCTGAATCTGACTCATCTTGTCTTGCCCTGCAGCACCCACCCCAGCTCCCAGGCAGGGCTCTCCCTCCAAGTCCTCAGCCTCTCATGTCAGTGATCCCCCCACCGACGCCACAGACCCCCCCACAGACGATTCATTTGGGGAAGCAGAGGGCAGCCCTAGTCGCAGTGGAGAGGAAGATGCTGTAAGTGTATGTATGTGTGTGACGATAGTAAAAGAGGTCTGTGGAATAAGTGAGGTGTGTGTGCCTTTAATAACTGAATCCTTATGCTGCTATAACCTGCACAGTGTGTTGAGATCTGCTGATAAATAGCCTTTGTAGCGGTGTTGGCAGGCCAGGTAATCACTCTGGCTGATTAGGTGGCCGATGCTGTTGTGTCTCTTAGTGTGTGTGTGTGTTTGTATCAGTGCATGTGTGAACGTGCACATGAAGTGTGTGTTTCTGTGTGAACACGAGCAGGGGTGTGCCTGCATAAGTATGTGGTTCAGTGTGTGTGTGCCTGGTCAACACTGCGTTAAATTAGCTGGTGGAATTGTCAGGGACATCATTAAGCTGTTATTAATACCAGCCAGGTAGCGTCCATACATCACTACTTCTATATGGACAGACTCATCTGCGGTGAGATAGAAGAGGAATAATGCCTCAATTCTTCTTCCAGGGACAATTAATATTTATTTTACCAGCAGCACCTCCATCTAAGAGAGAACGTGAGAGAAATTAAGGAAACGAGAAGAAGATAAAGAGAGGGCGGAGAAGCTCTGCCTTTGCCCAAAGTCCTTGTAGAATGAGTGACCTTCCAAGAAACAAGACTTCCCTGTACTCTCTGCCATTTTTCTGTCTTAGTCTTTTTTGTGTGTTTCTTTCATGCTTGCCTCTTTCTTCTCTTTTGCTCTCCACTCTCCAGGCGTGAAACATTAGTTTTATGCCTCCAATCCGTCTATTATTGAAAAAAAATAGAGGACTTTCACACTGCTGAAAATGTCACCAGGCCTGAATAACACACAGAAGCTTTACACAACCCAGAGAAATGTGCAGAGTGAGTGTGGCGAAAAGGTTACAAAGAAAGAAAGACAGACAGGAAAGATGGAGCAAAAGGCAGAAAAACAGCCTCCCGCTCCCCACGGTGGCGAGGTGTAAAAAGCGGAAGTGTTTTAGGAAAGGATCAATAGAACAAACTCCACAGAGGCTTTCATAATAGACAACTGTAAATGAGTGCTCGCATGTGTGTGTGTTTTCTGAGAAGAGATGGGATGTGTGGGCTGTGGTTTCTCACTCCAAGTGTCCTTATTTCTCCTTCAGAGTATTGACACCTTTTCTCTTTTGCTTCCTGTTTATGTCTACTCTTAGTCTTTACCAATCCTGCAATCCTTCTTTCAGATTTATTCTTCTCTGTCTACTTTCCACTCCCCCCTTATTTCCTTCTCTTATACTCCTCCATCAACTTTTCTCTCTACACTTTTCTCTTCTTTCCCTCCCATCCTTCTTCCCCTCTTTAGGCGTGTGGTTCTGGGTCGCCCTGCCCCAGTGAGACAGCAGAGCCCAGCCCAGACCAGGCCAGTCCAGAGGCTGGGAGCTAGATAGCAGCAGGGCAGGGTAGGTATCAATACCTCTCCTCCCCTCTAACTCCTCCTCCTTCACCTCCCTGCCCTTGTACCTCCCACTCACATCAATCCATCTGATCTCTTCTGTGTGCTACATCTTTTTTCATCTTTTCCTTCCTCTGTTGCATCTTAGTTCTCATTTTCACAGTTTTTCTTCATTCCTCCTTCACCTGCTGTCACGCATGCTCAAAGGAAGGCATGTGTTTGACTTTGAGTGGTTTCTCATGTGTGTGATTGTGCATGTATGAGTATTTGCTTGTGTTTCATTTTGTCTGTTGGTCATTTTTGTTGTAGCTGGAGTTTCGTAAGCATCTATCGATCATGATGTGGCATTGCGTGTGTTTTTAAATCAAGGTGGGATGAGTAAATCACGCATGATCACTTTGGCCATACCGTTCTGTGCCCTCATTGTGCCGTGTGTTTGTGACGTGTACCTAAATCACGCCCAGTTCCTTAAATAGCACACATCTCACTGAGAAAGCCAATAGCGTGCGACAGCCAATCAGAGTCTGTGCACTTCAGTGAACAGGACGTCTTCTGGGATTTGTCAATGTTGTGCACAATATGCTGATCTTGGATGTTTAGCTTAACTTTAAAATGATGCATGGTGTAATTTTTATGCATTTATGTATGTTACATGATGTATGAACTCCTAATATGTGCATTATTATTGTGCAAAGATCAAAGTGATGAAGACAAGCAGCTACTATCAAAACTCAGGGAGGTGCTGATGTGTGTTTGATCCTACTGGAAAACATTCACACAACTTGCATAGGCTGAAAAATTTCTTTTAGAGACATGTCAACATGTAGTCTGCCTACACTAGGAAACACACACACACACACAAGAAGAGAGCCATTTTGATCCCTGGCTCCCTACCCGGTGTCCTCACCCACACAATTCCCGACTGTGGCTTTTTAATGATAGCTGCTGGCACTCACACAGGGAAAATTGTAATGGTTTTGTTTTCATCAGCTAATATTGGGGTGCCAAGATTAATGACTACCCCGACATAATTGGCATTAATTAAAACCCAAGAAGCCTTCTAGTCCTTCCCCACTCCAGGAGAGGAGGAGGGGTGGCTGAGCATCCTCTCTCCCCTGTTGGCCACCATCCTCATATTCAGACGGTCTGAAAGCTGCAGGGCAGCAGGTGGATGCAAGTCTTAAGTGGGAGGACGGATTGTAGAGTGCCGAGTGGTGAATCTGGCTACAGACCGACTTTGTTATGGCCAGAAGCATCGAATTTTTCCTCTGTAGTAGGTGGACTGCTTTGGTCCTGGTCCAATGACGCTGCTCCCATATGGTGTTTACTTGCTCAATCACATCGACTTTAGACATCTTCCCAAACACACACGCACACACCTGTGCAATAGGCCCAGTTATTCCCCAGACAAGCACACCTGTGATCGATACCGTCACCACCTGTGCTCATATTGGAGCCAAAAATGTGTGTGTGTGTGTGCAAGAGTGTGTTTGCTGCCGGCCATGACCGCCTGTCCTGTCCTCCCCCTCCCACTGTGTGGCTACGACAGACATGTGTTCAGGCTAGTGGGAGTGTAAGTGTTTTTTCTGGGGTGATCTCATCATGTCCAGCGAACGCTCCCGAGTCTCAGCCGTGAAATGGCCTGCTTCCACGGTTCACTGAGCAATCTCACATTGCTCCCCCCCTGCCCAGGGCCTACCGCACACACACACATGCACATAAATGTCCACACATGTACCAGCCAGGCCAGATATTTTGGCCTTCAGGCTGTTGCTACACCAGCACATCACTCATACCTCCATCCAGTCCCTCCTCTCTCTTGGCCCGGGGTTTATGGAGCTGAAGCGGCCCCGGTTGGCAGCCCTGGTTAGATGATGCGGGGTGACACTGCCGGGCTGTGGCTCTGGTGCAGGGGCTGAGCAGTGTGTGCTTGCTGTCACTGCTTGTCTCAACCTCTTTGTCACCTCTCAGGGCTGCTGGCAGCTACTTTCTGCTGACTGTCTGGCCTTGGCTGGCCCTACAATCACAGCTCTGTATTCCAAAAGCCTCCGCTAAAGCATCGCTCCAAACCTTAACCCCAGTTTTCTGTTCAGATGAAAGCCCATGCAGATTATGCAACAGCCAGGTTTTGGTGTGATTTTGAGCGTGGAGCAGCTTTTTGAAAGTCTGTCTTCTTTTTCCCCCCAGACACCACTCTATCCCACTGCATTCAGATACAACATGAAGCAGATCCTCCTTTATTTGTGCAAATTTGAACACAGAATTGATTTCACCCTGTGTTTTGACCATAACCAACCCAATAGGGTTGCAACTTGCCGTTATTTTCAATATTGATGTATCTGCTGCTTTTTCTAACTTATTTAAGTAATTCTCTTGTCTACAAAATGTCAGATAATAGTGAAAATGTCCATTACAAATTCCTAGTGTGTTTGTTAAGAAGAAATTACTTTATTGACAATTATCAAAATAGTTGCCAATTCTTTTTTTTCCTACACTGTAATGGTATGTAATAAAAATGTGGGTAAGAATGTTTAAATGTAACAGCTCAGGATCAGAAATTCTCCTGTTTTCCTCCAGACCCTTCCTCTCAACTCTCCAACTCAAGATAATGAGTTTTATGTTCGTGAAACATTTTTACATAGATGTGTCTTTGCCCTGTTTTATATGTTGCTTCTGAAATTCACTTCACATTTCACTGGTATAATGTGACTGAAGGGCAGCACTCAGTGGCAGCACAAACTGTTGTATCTGATTCATTTTTAGGGCTTGAAAGAATGTCACACTTTGTCTCACATCAGCAGAAATGCTCAGAAATCACTCCAGTCTGCTCACATCCCCAGGTTTCATCACTGGGCATCGTATCCTCACGTGGGAGCTACTGGTAGAGCCAAACTCGCTCTCTCTCTGTGCACTGAGTGAGAGAAGTCTTCCAGAATATAATAGGCCAGTCAGTGGTCTCCAATCAAGTTGTCTGCATGGCAGATTGAGTGGCTGGCTGTAATTATGTGTACGATAATAACGGGCCCATTGTGAGTGACTGCAGCAGGCTTGGTGCTCTGACTGCAGGGTGTTCCATCATCCACTGTTGTCTTCCAGCTCAGTTGGAGAGAAATACAGACATGATGACTCATAACTGGTCTTTCAAGGCGCTAGTTTATACCTCTGATTCATACTGGTCCTGGAGGGAGCCTGGAGAGAGAGGGAGAGAATATGCATGTGCGTGCACAATGACACACTCAGAAACAATAACTCACTCACACACACACATAAAGAGAGGTTTTGGGAGTGAGAGGTGAATTTTTCAGTGGGAGTTCTAAATGGGCTGAGAAGAGAAATGATTGGAAGTCTCCTAGCAGTATGCCAGTGCCACCTGGTGGTCACATTAGGTACAGGCTCTAACAAACCTTTGCAGGGTTGGATCTTACTTGTCGGGGCTTGCAGGCTGGTGATACTTGCAGTTCAGTTGGTTGAGAGAATGAATCAGAGAGTCCTACCTTTTAATTGCATAGCATTCAGGTGAGATCAGATATTACTAATCCAACCAGGTTTTAATAAGAAAAGTTAAAGCTGTTTGAGATGCTGATGTTTCTTCTCTCATGCACAGAAGGGGAAGGACCCTCTCTACGCCCAGATCAACAAAGGAAAGAAATAAAGAGACACACAGGAAGACAGACCTGACCAGCACTGAGAGAACAGGAGGAGAACTCTCATTGTGTGTGTGTGTGTGTGTGTGTGTGTGCGCGCGTGTGTGTGTGTGCGCGCGT